CGGCTCAAAAAGGTTGCCTACCCGTCATAAACTAATGGACAAGAGCCCCACCAGCCCTAGGCAGATAGGGGGCTGAGTCCATTGTCTCTCTGTCTATCTCCTACACATACACAAAGCTGTTTTGTGTCTGCGAGGGACACAAAATAGACCGGCGCTGACTCTCACAACTGCCCCCCCCAACTCCCCTCCAGCCAACTGACCTGGGTTGAAGAGGATAATGGCTCGGAGGCACCCCAGTTCTGTCTTGTCCATCCGCATGTCGCGCATCTTTGACACCAGTTCGGTCAGCACCCTGCGGAGGACGGAAAGAAAGATGGGAAGAAGGGAGAGGAGGAATGGGTCAGTTGGGCTGCGTGTGTGGGATGGCTAGAGGAACACAAAGGCAAGCATCCTTTGAACATTCAATATTCAAGCAGGAATATGTTGGGAGAAGAAGACTTAAGATGTTTCAAGGTCTGCAAACCTCTCTGAGCAATGCTTCCCAAACTCTGGTTCTCCAGAGGTTTTGGACTTGAACTCCCAGAGGCAACCTGGTGGGCTAAAGTTTGGGAACTGCTGAGATAGGTTAGGAAGCTGGGTGTGCTTTGTTAAGAGAAGAGGAAGAGGGGACATGATAAGAGCCATCTTTAAATGTCTGAAGGGAGGTCACATGGAAGATGGAGGTGGCTTGTTTTTTGCTGATCCAATGACCAAAACACAAAGCAATGGATTCAAATTACACGTACAGAGATTCTACCTAAACATTAGGCAGAATTTCTTGACTTTCAAGAGCTGATCAGCAGTGGAATATCAACAGCCTCGAAGGATGTTGGAGATCTTTTAGAGATGTTGGAGGATGGCCATTTCTCAGGGGTGCTTTAGTTGTGGATTGCTGCATTCCCGAGGGTTGGATTAGATGACCCTTAGGGCTCCCTTCCAACTCTAAGGTTTGTCAAAGAAACTGGGGCAGGAAAACCTTATTCTGTCTCCACTGAGGCCAAACATCACGAGAAATAAGGTTAGCCAAGGACTGGTACAATGTGTGTACCTTTAGCTATGATGGCTTCTTTTTCCCCCTGGAAACCCACCACCAAAGAGGAGCTCATTGTTGTTGTTGTTGTGTGCCCCCAAGTCATTTCTGATTTACGCCAACCCTAAGGCGAACATATATCACAGAGCTTGGCAAGTATGTTTGCAGGGGGGTTGCCATTGCTATCCTCTAAGACGGAGAGTGTGTGACTTGCTTAACCATTTTGGGGGG